AGAGGAAACATCGGGGCTTGGGCTCTGCTGGAAGAAGACAGCATCACAGAACTAGAGGAGGCTGCAAGGAAGTCAGTCACTGAGTGCCTCCCACCCCTGGCAGGGACACTGCTGCCAGCTTTGCAAATCTCCATGGACAAAGAACCAAAACCTCTCTGGGCACCCTGTGCCCGTGCCCACTTGTGGAGTCTTAACTTCTTTTTGCCAGGGTCAGGATTGAATATGTTGGATGGTATTTCTTGTTGGGACTCAGATGTTTGCCAGTTCTTATCCGTGTTACAGTCTCACAAACCCTGAGTTCTACAGCACTTCACTCTAACAAGGTAAAATGGAGCTGTATCTCCCTCTCTATGAGGCTTTTTAAGGATAAACTGTCCAATTAAGAAACGACACTTAAATTATTTTTAGCTTTAACCCAATAACCAACCACCTGTGCCCGCAATGTGGACTTTTTATCCAATTACACAAACCCACCCAAACCCATGGAGAAGAAGGTGAGGAAGAAGGACCAGCCTCCACCCTAAAGCCTCCATCTTGCTTTATATATATTACTATATTCTAAACCCTTAAACTCTAAGTTTCCCACCCTATGATATTACACACTTCTATTCAAACTCCACACCCATAATCCCAATTCTGTCACTCAATTTTGGAAGCCTTCTCCATAGCCTCAGGTCAAATGCAGTGTTCTCTTGGGAGTCAGTGCCTGCCAGCACAGAAAGTCTGAAATTCTCAGCACCCAGGGTTCTAACACCCAGTTAAAAAAGAAAAAAAGTGCTTCCTTACCTTCAGAAGGAGCCTCCTGTGTTTCAGTTTGTACCAGTTGCCTCTGGTCCTGTCACTGGGCAGAGAGCCTGGCTCCAGCTCCTTTACATCCTCCCCTCATCCATGAGGCCAAGAGCTTTTGTCCCTGCCCAGTGACCTTAAATACCAAACCCAACTGGGCTCCTTTCACTAATCAAAAAGTAGCTCACCAAAACACAACAAAACCGTACCAAAAAAAGCCAGAAGCAGATTTTCATCCTGCTGCTAGAAGGCTTTGATATGATTTTTTTTTACTCTATATTTGTACTTACCCTAAATTTGTAGGCTCCCATATATTTGGGAGCACGTGGTTTCAAAGGAACCAGCTTATAGTGACAGTTTTCCAGAAACCATTTTGTGGAATGCTCACATCGGGACATCTATGTAGAAGTCTCACAACCTAATAGTCTTTCTCATGGGAAAAAAAGAAAAAGAAAAAAAAAAGAAAAAAAGAAAAATTTGATCTTACTAAACTTGCTGCATCTAAAAAAAATTTGAGCACGTGACCATGCAGAACTTTAATCCTGTTAGAGGAGCAGCATTCTCAGTGCCTGCAGTGGGATCTGCCAGCACTGGGCCCATTAGTGAAATCAGAATGAGGATTTGTGTCCCCTTCAGCACTGGTGACATTTCTATCCCCTGTTAAATAAATACAAGAGCAGCTGTATGTGAAGCTAAGCCCTGAAAGGTTTTTCTGTCCCCCTGTAAGCACTTTTAGTTGAATTAATTTGCCATAAAGGTTAGAATATTATGACAGGAGCCATAATATTCTAACCTTTATTATTTGAATGTATAATTACTTTTGTTATTTGTGTTATTACAAGTGTCTATGATTATTTCTGACCAATACAAATTATCTCACAGCCTAGTGGATAATAACCAAATATTTAAATTATGTGTGGGCTTTCCTAAAATATTTTTCAAAAACTATGCCTGAAACTTAAGTTTCATTCCAAAACTTAACAACTGACATGGACATAAACCTGCCCCTAAAATTCTAGTTATTTTGCTACTAAACCCCTATTTTTTTCCATGTTTGTTGCTTTTCCCCCTACACTGCCATAGGATATTTCTGCCAGAATTTTACTTTTTCAATTGGAAAAATCACTAGCAGTCTTCCGCAGGAGAAAAGCAAGAACTTCAGCGCAAGTTAATCAGCTAAATTCAATTTTTAAATGTAAAGAATCCCATGATAGCCTTAGCTAAAAATTAAATTATTTGTCTATCTGAATTTGAGGCATATTTAAAATACTACTATAACATAATTTAAAAAGTAATGTTGGTTCCAAGTAAAGATTTACTTGATGACAGATTTGTCAAAGACCATATAAATATATTTATATAACTTATTATATATTTTATTAGATATACTCATATCTCATATACTACTTATTATATATTTTATTATATATACTATATATAATAAACTATATCTTGTTTATAACTGTTCTATATATTATATATAATAAGATATATTATGCTATATAGAATGAAGTATATATCTTCTTTATATATAATAAGTTATTATATATAACTTATGCCAATAAGTTTTATATATATATATATATATATATATATATATATATATATATATATACACACTTATTCTATCTTTTATTAGACGAACTAATTTAACTGAAAAACAAGGCATTTCTACAGGAAGTTGTAAAGGACACCAGGGAGTACCCAAAAAAAGTTTTTTCAAATATGGCATGATCTAGGAAAACCCGTCCTGCATGTACTGTTGGAATGGGATACCAGATTTCTCCAAGATACTGATATGGTTCACTTGCTTGTTGACATGTTTATTCCTAAATATGACAGTCAAAGCCCTTTGATGTTAACTGTAGAAAATCTATAATTAAATTCTGTTACATTCAATTACCTCTAGCAAAAAAACATTACTCCTAAATCAAGTTGCCCGGTCAGAAATTTAGTTAACAAAAATAAGAACTTAAAGTAGTTTTGTGTAAAGGACAAATCTATACCATGTGATTCAGGATATCAAATAAACCATTGGAAAGAACAGACCAGATACACACAACTCCACATATCCTTGATAAGAGGATCTGTAATTCTTAATTACATATTTATGTTTTTTCATTATCAGATCAACTGATAAATACTGCATGAGAAACTGAACAGTGAGAAACTTATTACTTGAATTATCATAGGATATATTTACATCCAAAGTCCTCCTAATCAAAAATCAGTAAAGCATATTATTCTTTGCTATACTGAAATGAATACCTGAATAGTAAAAATGAATACACCACTGTTTATTTGCAGCAAAATAATCAGTATATTCAAAATCAAATGATCAGTGCATAAACATAGATTGGTACCATCTTCCTTTTGTGAGGGATACACAGTCCTGGTTCAATTCAACAGCACCATATTTAATTTCTCCAACAATATTTTACCAACCATCACAGCAACAAGTGAAGTTCTAAAATACAGGTAATTAAGTGTTAAAGCTCTGAGGGCCTCTCCCAGCAGAGTTCTGCTGCTGCATTGCTCCTCCACCTTCAGAGCAGGGGTGAGATCCCGCAGAGAGTCTGGATGGGGCTGATCCATCAGTCTCCGTCCTTTAACACCTGGAGCCTTCTCCTCTGACAGAGGCAGGGCCAGGGGAAGTATTCACATCCACTCCCCGGAAGGCATACACGAGCAATTCCCAAAAATCTCTTCCCCCCTCTATCAACAGTGGTAGACAATGCTGCTGTAACACAATGGAGATTACCTGCTACTTGTACAGCAGAGTTTCCTCACACGAAGCTGTTGTTGCCACACAAAACAAGTTCCCACATTGGCATGCAGGTGTTTTACTTACACTTAAATGCACCGCAGAGCCCTTGTACATTCATGCCCTTGCACCAGAGCTGTCAGCAGCTATTTCACAGCTGGCTCCACCCTCTCTGAGACACTCAGGTAGGGACTCAGCATGAGGGTTGAGTAGAGGGGCAAGGGACCAAGCTGTAAGGCCCTTTTAATGCTAGTTTCTGCTGCCTTCCCAACAAGTAGCAGCCAAGTATTCTTATCTCCTTAGTATTATCTAGATAATAAACAATCTAGATACTGTTTTCTAAATTTTAAAATATTCTTATCTTAGTTCTCCGCTGCGTTATAAGCACCTACACAATCAGAAAACAGAATTTTCTGTTGAGATCTCCACCAGCTAAAAAGCATTAGAGTCATCCCAGCTTGTAAGTTACATGTTCGTCAAGTACCTCTAAACGGCAGCGTGTTGATGTCATAAAGTAAATATTTAACTACAGTCATCATTCCTCCAAACAGTTCCCCTTATTTCACACATCAGAAGTTTCTGGTTTTCTCCAGGGAGTTTCTGATCACTTCCACTAATGTTATCCAACACCCTCTCGCTCTACTCTTTCCTGTTTCTGTATATACAAGTCGCTTCAGCACTTAAATAAAGAACACAATCCAAAGTCACTACTGGAGACACGCAAGCACAGACACCAATCACTGTCAGCCCCTGGATTTCCTGGAGGCAGCAAAACCATAACACTCACACATCCCCGGAGTTTCTTTGGTGTACAGCTTTTAACCCAACCCAGCCTATCCCAAAATTTTTCACATAGTTCATGTTCCCAGCACACAGTATTAAACAAATCCTTACAGCACATGTGAAGCCAAGAAGGAGAAGCCAAAAGAGCCACAGATCCATGTGCTCAGCCTGGCCTCTGCTCTGGGAAGGAGAGTGATGGGAGCTCCTAATTGCGGTGTGTGCTGGTGCAAACCAGCCTCATGCATTTCAGGGAGCCACTTCTGCCCCTTTCTAGACTATAAGATTTAAGATTTAGCGGCACTGACCCAAAACAAACAAACAAACAAAAAAACCCCAAACGATAAAACGCACAAACAAACCAAAAGAAAAACAAACAGAAAAAGGAACCAAACCATTGTTTTCACGTATATAAAGCTACTGCTGGTCCTTCCAGCTGCCGGGCTCGGAGAGTTTGGTGGAGACAAGGCTCTCTGATGGCTAAATGCTTGCTGATAGGTACAAGCTTGCTTAATCGCGGAGCAGCAGCAGCCCGGTGGGGGAGACACACCCTGCCCCGCTCTGGCTCAGCCACAGCGGCCGCTGTGCCATCAGCGCCTTGCTCCGGGGGCAAAACCCCCGCCGCTAGCCCCGGGCGCACAAAGCCAGGCTGAGCAGAAGAAGGGGATCGCAGGAGCAGGAAGGACCTGCTGCCTATGCGGGGTCCGGGTGAGGTCAGGCAGGTGTCTGGAAACAAAGCCCAGGGAAAACCCCTGGAGCAATCGCGGGGCTCCCCATGACCCCTCTTTGCCCACGCTCCAGGGCCGTTCCTGCCCCGCCCCGGGGCGGCCCCGGCCGGGGCTCGGGCAGCGCGGGCGGGGGCGGCCCCGGTGCGGCCCCGGGACTGCGCCGCGCCCTTCCCGGGAGAGGCTGATCCACACCTGATCCACACTGCCGGGGAGAGGCTGATCTACACCTGGTCCACACTGCCGGGAAAAAGCTGATCCACACAGCCGGGGAGAAGCTGATCTACACCTGATCCACACTGCCGGGGAAAGGCTGATCCACACAGCCGGGGAGAAGCTGATCTACACATGATCCGGACAGCCAGGGAAAGGTTGTCCCACATCTGATCCGCACAGCCCAAGGAAAGGCTGTCCCAGCACCTGATCTCTCCGGATCCCGCCGCACAGCCAGGGAAAGGCTGTTCCACTCCTGATCCGCACAGCCGGGGAAAGGCTGTCCTGCCGGGGCAGGTAGGGCAGTGCTGGCTGCTCCTTCTGTCCCGGGCGCTCCCCGGGACCTGGCCCCGCTGTCCCGGGGCTGGCAGAGCGCTCTGCCCCAGGGGAAAGGCTGTCCCTAGCCCTGCCGTGGTCCCCAGTGGCTGTGGCACGTCCCCACCTCGGGCGGCGATGCTGTTTTTACCCGTGTCGGGTGGCTCCGTGCAGAGTTACGGGTTTGTTTCACTCCTCTGACAAAACGGGCTTTGTACCTGTTCCCGTCGGGGAGATTTTGTTACCTCCTACAAAGGGCAGCAAAGGCTCTGCGGTGTCAGAGCCCACCTGGGGCACCCTGCGGGGCTCTTCCCCGGGGGCCGCCGCTCTGTTGGGCCGGGAGAGGAGAGCAGGAGGCGGCCGGAGATGTGACATGTGCGGGTGTTACACAACCAGAGCCCCGCAAGAGACAGGCAGGACCTGTTCGGGTCGGTGTCTCTTCCAGGAGCCATCAGCCCCGAGTGCGTGTAGGTGCTTGCTGGATGACTTCAGAGTCAGGATTCACTCAGGGCTCGGCGCTGACACTTCAGAGGATTGCGCTGTCGTTCCTGCTTAACTCACGTTAGTTTCTGTCTGACAGATCCCGGCCATGATCGCGGTTTTGGTGGTGCTGTGTCAGCTGCCTGTGACGGTGCTCGCGTTTCCTCACTGCCCTGGCAGATTAAAGAACTTGGAGCAACCGGAATGGAAAGATGGTAACTTAGTTTTAACGAGACTTGGTGCTTTCCAGAATTGTTTCTAACTTTGCTTTGCTGGCTTCTTTAATTGTTTGGTTATTGTTGTTTTGGTTGTTGTTGTTTCAGAGTTTTTTATGGTTTAGTTGCTTGGTCTTTTTGGGGTTTTTTTGTTTTGGTTTTTTGGGGTTTTTTTTACTTTATGACAAAATTATGCTGCTTTATGCTTAATTTCAGATTATTTTAATACCTCTTGCTGAAATGAGCGATAATTGACTTTGGTGTTAATATCAAGTATTTATCAGATCTTGTTGTAAGTGCAGATTGGGACAACTGAAGTTTTTCCAGCCCTCTGGGATTATCGTGGTTGATACAACCAGAATCCTTTAAGTAACATCAAAATTCAAAAAGTTTGAAGCCTGTGTTAAGACAGTATTGTTTTGGTACTATTTGAGCAGATCACAGTTGTACTTGTATATCTGAAATTGCTTTGTATTTGAAAGGGTTTATTTGGTTGTTTTTTGAAATTGATATTTGCTCTCAATGCCAGGCCCTCTTACAACACCTGGAAAGATAAGCATAGTGCTGCTTTTGCAGATCTTCCCTGGGGAGGGAGGGAGGGAGAGAAGTAAAAAACAATGTAAAAACAAACAAATTCCCCTCAGAGACTCAAGCACTACAAAGCAAAGGCTGGTTAGCATTTTAAGGGCTTCAAAAATAAATTTCTGCCTTAGCTGTCCAGTCTTCTCAGTGGAGAAGGAGTGCTGAAACCTTAAGACAGAGTTTAAAAAGTCATCACATGGAGCAGGAGGCTCCTTCAGGGCAGTATGAGGAGCAGAAACAGTGGCTAGCAAAAAAATGCTTGTGACAGATGATTTGTTAAAATCCATCTTGCTCTGGGCATAAAACATCAGGCTGCCCCTTCCCTGTGAGCTCCTGTGAGACCTCTCTCCTCACAATAGGCCCAGACCACTCCTCCTTTAAAGACAGAGTTGGAAAGAGAAGTATCCAATTAATATCAATATTATAATATAATATCCAAAAATATTGGAATATATATATATATATATATATATATATATATATGTAATCCAATAATTTAGCAAGAACAGTTGCCAAAGGTATGGGGTACCTGCATTGAGAGGTCCCCCTTCAGCGTTTTGTGAACATCTTTTACCAGCAGAGCTGCTTCACTGAGAGTATTGTGTGGTTGAATTTTTAATTAAATAATTAAATGCTGGGCATCCTAAAACTGCCTGGATCATTTTCTCAAACCAAGGACTGCAGAACTGCATCCAGGCCCCTCACATTTAGGGCTCAATTCAAATCCATCTGTTTCATTCTTCAAATACTGTTTTAATCACCAGGTAGCAAGTAAGTTGGAGATGGAGATATGTGACAAAGTGAAAAAAGTCATAAATGGATAAAAATTCTTGAAAAGAAAACTGGGCCATGTATCCTTGGGAATTGAGGGTTCTAGGCTCCAGGCAGTTTGATTATACTTTCCATTTTAAACAAAATGCATGAGTTCTCTAAGTTAATTCAAAGGACAGCTAATACTACTTGCATGGTAAAGAGTGAAACACTAGTGAGCAAAACTGAAGATCTCTGCTTCAGAAGACTGAAGTTACTTTTGTAATTTGCACTGAACCAAGAATATTGATAATATTTTTTTCCCCATGTAATTATTTTCCCTTTCCACTTGTGGGTTTGAGGGAGTTTTGATTTTGGTTTTGGCTTCTGTTTTTGTTTGTTTGGGGTTTTTGATTGTATTGCTTTTGTTTTGTTTTTGTTAAGTCCTTTTCTCTGGTTACTCTTTAGGTATAGTATAAATATTTTAAGCTTAGATTTTCTTGCAATTACTTTAGAATAACAAAAACAAATGCATGTGCACATATGTAGCTACTTCAGTGCACAGTGTAACAGTGTACAAACTATATAAATATATGCTGTCATATTCCTTAAATATTCTATCATATTAAAGACATAAACAACCAATATGTAAGTTATGCTGCAGTTTTTCCAGTTTTCAGAGAGCAAAATGTTATGAGATAGCACTGCAAGATCTAACAGTGACTCTTAGGGTGAAAATTCCAGAGCAATGTGATAATCTTGCCAAACAGGCTAACAAGACCACAAAGCTAATTTGTAGCTGAATAACTTTATCCTGAATCTCATCTCCTTTTTCAGCCATCCTGCTTGGTATGTAACCATGCTGTTTCTGCATTACACTTGCAAAAATAATCCTCTAGTCATTTTCCTCAACCAAATAGGAAATTTTGTGGACATAGATTAGGCTTTCACTAGAAATTTGGTTTTGCTTTTTTTTTTTTTTTTTTTTTTTTTTTTTAAATAAGAAACTGTCGCAAGAGCAGGCTAAAACTTGACTATGGAAAATGCCTAGTGAGGAAATACATTCCTGTATTCCAAAGCCTTCTATAATTTCACTCACTGTTCTGGAATCTCAGCTCACCACTTAATCCATGAGGCCTCATGAAACACAAAAGAAGAGAATCTCTACTTTTCAGAAGTCTTCAGAAATGCATGTTGTCAGTAAAATTCATTTAAAACAAATAAACTTGGCAATAAGTCACCTTTACATAAAGTTTGGTGCCACGATTGTGAAAAGAGAACAATTGTAGAATGACTAGGAGTCTGCTGATGTGATTTAAAAACTAAATTCTGTAAATAAAATTTGGAACTCACAGATACCAGAATATTGATAAATGTATATTTGGTTTTTTTCCTTCCCCCACCCTTGCCTCCTTCCCCCCCTAGGTCAGGGTGTTGCTTACTTTGCATCTGGCTGAAGTTCGCTTTATGTGACAATTTCTTTGTTCTTAAGAGCTCCAGTAAAAACTGCTGCTCACATCCCACCAGGGGTCACACCAAAACTTGACCAACAGTTCTCATGACAATCAAATTCTCTTGGCCCGGATAAGGAATAGCTGAGATGGTCTATGAGAAAGGCAAATACATTTATTTTATGTTACATAGTTAGAAAATATAGTAGTGAAGAAGAAATTTTAGGAGGAGACTTTGATCTTTCCCTTATATGTAGCTGAGAGATGCTAGGGGAAGAAATTATCCCAAAGTGCTCCTTTAAAATCTTTAGCATTCTTTAAAAATACCAAATTTAGCCTTCCTAACTTGTTTTAAATCAACTTAATTTTTTTTTTTTTCATTAGTGTTCACATCTGCAAGGGAGGCCAATTTATTCATTGGACGACGTCTTCTGAACAACAGATTTGATTTTGAAGCATTCACAGCTGATAACCTGGAAAGGGAATGCAATGAAGAACTCTGCAATTATGAAGAAGCAAGAGAAATTTTTGAAGACCCTGATAAAACGGTAGCAGTTCAAATTGAATTTAATTTAGTGAGGGAGGTTATTGGCTAAATAACTGTATTTTTGTACACAAATTATTGTAATGTAAATTTTCGTACACAAATTATTGTAACATAAATTATTGTACACAAACACTGTAACTCCTCTAACACAGCACTGAGAGATGACTGCTTATTTTGTTCTAAAAGCAGACATCCCAATTACATGGGGTTTTTGCTTTAGATACACAGTGAATGCACTTGAATATGTTGAATAATGTCTTAATATATCAGTGTTGTCTTAATATATGAATATTGTCTTAAAGACTTTAGATGTTGCCTTTAATTCTGCAAACAAATAGAAATGAAGCTTCAGAAGTCCCACTTGTGGCTATTCCTGGATTTTTCAGATTTCTGGATATTTTAGCAACTTCTCAGCATCCAGTTTAAAAGTTTCACATTATTAATTATAAATGTATTAATTGGCTGATTGCATCCTTGTGTCATGCTCAGAAGTGTTTTGTAAGAGGCCAGTGTGGAGCAAAGCTGCAGTTCAGCTATTACTGAGTGTTCCTGTAGCACCACATTCTAACTCCCCACCTAGATGTGGCTGAGAAGAAACCTGGTATATAAATATATAAAAAGAAACAATGAGAAACCTTTCAGCTCAGTAAAGGAATGTGAGGATTGTCTGAAGACTGGTTGTTGCACAAGTAGCAAGAATCTTTTTGTGATTCTAGGTGTGCTCTGCAGAAAGGGTGAGGAATTCACCCCTGTTCTAAAGGTGGAAGTGTTAGCTTGCCATTGCTAACAATTTCCTAAGAAAAAGGTCAAATTGCTAAATTGAAATCTTGCTAGAGTCTTTTGCTTGGTAGCAAAAGTGAAAATTATAACTCAACACATTTAATGCCGGATGGTCATAAAACATTAAAGTTCTTCTCTTAAATGGATCCCACTATTTTTCCTAGCTAATGTGAATTCAAATGTTGGAATTTTAAGAATTTAACTTTGCCTCAAATACTGTTTTGTAGGGATTTGCAAAAAAAGTAATTGTAAGCATTTTTTGGTGTCAGAATATACCCTAATTTCTATTGTAATCTGGCAGAAATATGAGGCAACACTGTACAATTAAATGTACTTTTTTCTTTTACCAACTGGGATCTGAGAAATTTTAATGCAAAGTTGTAGAAGAAAAATACCATGGGATGAGTAAATACAAATCCCTCAGCAGGAGTTATTTCTGTTTATGCCACTGTTAAATTCTGCCCAAGGTACCATATTAAATATAAGTCAATAGGCCTGTAACTTCTTTATCTCATATAAAAAATGTGATTCTTTTTGGGTTTTATAGATGGATTTTTGGAAAGAATATTCAACTAAAGGCCCTAAAATAAAATTAGGTAAGTAATCTTTTTACTTTTTTATTATATTGCAATATTTTCTGGTTCTTATAATAGTACGTTCTTAATAGATCATGCAATCAGTTAAGGAAATCAGAAATTATCTTTTTACTGAAGATCACTGTGAACTGTACAAATATATTTAATTTCCTGATATGGTAAAACTGAAGCATCTTAATGTGGGATCCATTATAGGTCTGTAGGTAATTTCCTTGACCATTCCTTTATTACACAACTGGTAAACTTGGCAGTGATTCTGTGGCTGCTCCGGTGGTTTGGTTTTGTTTTGTCTCCCCTCTATTTCTTTAATAGTAATACATAACAGCCTGATTTAGGCTCAGAGTAGTCTGATGTCAGATAATTTTAATATATTTAATAATTAATTAATAAATAAATTTTAATTAATTTAATAATTTTATTTTAAGAAAAAATGGTCAGTGGGACCTGATCAAGGTCACAAGTACATGAAGGAATATTTGGAAGGCTTTGGAAGGCTTTGGAAGACAGGCATCTCAACAGTTTCATGCAGAGAAAAGGGGGCATCAACTCCCTTTTGCTTTAAGTTGACTGTGAATGATTCTCTTGGGTTGTGTTGCACAGATTTACAGCTTCTTACAGCAGCTTAGACATTTGTGGAAGGAACAGCCTAATAACAGTGCAAAAGTAGTATTTTACAGTGTACACTGCAGGCTGGGTAGATGGAAAGAACAGAATGAAAATCATCCATGTTTTCTCTCCAGGTGATGAGGCACTGCAGAAGATTAATGTCACAGGACTGCTCATCAGCCTGGTTGCTGCTGGAGTGCTGTTGGTTATAATTGCACTGATTATCTTCTACTGCTGCAAGAGCAGATGCAAATCAAGGCAACCACCAGGGTAAGGAATTTCACTGCTTAAAAAACCCAAGCGCATACAAAACAAACTCTTGCTTAAGAGTGGCATTTAAAAATCACTCTGGGTTGGTCTAACTATTGTATTCTCAGAAAATCCAGTGGAAGTTCGAGTTCTTACTTGCCTAGAAGCAAAGTTAAGTGAGCACCAACAGTAGTTAATAACACAAAAACATAAAACAATATTGCACACCCAAACCTTTGGGTTTGCCTTTTTTTTTTAACTGTGTGTTTGTGTGTTCTTCATTTCAAAATATTCTTACTAAGATGATGGAATAATTTTAGTAGGTGGGGGCCTGCAATGTGAAGTCTAACGTGTTCTGTTGGTGCTTTCAAATAAGCTGTATGCTCTCATGGCATGTGCTCTACTTCAGATGTGAAGTAGTTGTGGTAATAGATGATGAAGCAATGTGGAGGAAATGCTTTTTTACCAAGTCTCTACTCCTGAATGCTCCTTTGTCCTAATCTTGAAAGGAATATAAAAGGATTCTGTGCTTCCTCTTCCCTATAAATGTCACATCACTGAGCTGTTCTTACCCTGCGGTTTGGAGAGAGTATTTGGCTTCTGGTCTTTGTGATCACTGAAGGCATGGTTTTTCTCTTGTGGGGTTTTTTTGGGTTGTTTGTGGTTTTGTTTATTTTATGCTTACAACTTGATTGTGGCATTCACATTCTCTGAAAAATCCCTTCACTCAGGATTTCTCTCCTGGGAAGCTGAGAAGCCTCAGAGAAAAAGAAAACAATTCTTATCTCATTTGCTTCTCCTGCGTTGTGCTCATGTGGAATGTGTTTGGAGATTGTTTACCCACAGGTGATTGTTTCATTGGATTCTGCTGTGGGTTGTTTTCACTCAGTGGCCAATCAGGGCCAAGCTGTGTCGGGACTCTGGAAAGAGTCACGAGTTTCCATTATTATCTTTTTAGCCTTCTGTAAGTATCCTTTGTGTATTCTTTAGTATAGTTTAGTATAGCATTCTTTAATATAATACAGTATCATAAAATAATAAATTAGCCTTCTGAGAACACGGAGTCAGATTCATCATTCCTCCCTTCATCGGGCCATCCCATAAAGACAATACTTCATCTTCTTGCTTCCCTTTAAAGAAGAACTTTCCACTTACCTGCTGTTCCCTTTGTTTAGGTACATGGGTTATGTGAGGAGCAGAAGACGGAATTCAGCCAACATCTTCAGGAGGCACGAGGAGTTCTCCTTGAACCCCCTTCCCGACGACTCCGAGCTGCCCACCTATGAGCAGGCAGTGACCTCTGATGGCCAGCACGCCGTGCCCCCACCCCCTTACCCAGGGCCCCCCAGGCACCCTCGGCTCTTTAGAAAGTCCATGTCCCTCCCTGGCCCCTAGGCACAAACCTGCTGCTGGGCTCAGGGGGGGTTGCTGGAACATAACATGCTTTTGAAAAAAGTGTGTGCTTACCTTGCATATTGCAAGATGATTTACAGAAATGTGAAAGATCTTCTGGACAACGAGGGAGGAGTGAAGTTCCCATGTGGGGAAAGAGGTCACCTGGCACAAAGGCTGCAGGACTGTTCTTTGCACAAAGGCACTGTGCCAAGAGGAGAGAATGCAGAAAGTCTTATACTGCTGCCCTCTTCCATATGAGCCATCCCATCAAACTATTGATTCTTCATTAATAGTTTCATCTTCTTTTTCTTCAGAAAGAACAGTATTTTAATTGCTCATATTGACACTAGCTATTTTTTGTGACTTAATATTTTAAACCACCATAAGAAGTCTAGTTTGTTGTTTGACATATTCCCTTCTTTGCTGGGCGCATTTTCTATTCATTCTTGTAATAGACTTGAGTGCAAAAATTATTTCATGGCTTGATCTGTCAAATATACATATATATATATAATATATATATATATATATAGTACTGCTAGTGGATTACACTGGTTTGGTTTAGATATTGCTGGTCACACAACTTAATTGCTTGTATTTTTATGATGATAATTTTGCATCAAAAGGAAGCATTCATTATGTGGCACACTACCAATTCAGGCAAAGTACACTTGCATCAAATTGTTTTGATGTTGAACAGTAAATACCAGGTCAAAGAGAGGAAATAGAATACTGTGGACCAGTGAATGTTGAGCAAAAAGCCAGAGATTTGTCCCTTTTTAAAAAGCTACCCAGGTTTCACAGCTAATGTTTCTTTCATACTTTAAAGGCTGAAATGTAGAGAGAAACATTTAACTTTCAAACCAAAGCCCAATCTACCTCCTTGAAGCACCTTAGTAAGTGTGTCTTGCACTACAGGGATGGCAAAATGATACCTTTAAGTAGAAAGAAACATCATATTAGATCAAAAATCTAAGAGGCAAGAACTCCTGGGAGTTATTGGTTCTCTGTGTCAAGACAGTTTCTGTATCTACAGCTGTAGCCACCGTGAATTTTACATCTTATTAAAATATCAACCCCCAGCATTATGCAGCCTATAGATCTTGCTGAGCAAATTGCTGCCCATCACTTGTGTCCCCTCCTCAGCACAGGAAGCCAGAGCAGAGGGTCTCACAGGAAACATGTCAGGCTCTTCTCTTGTTAGACAGTGGCTGTACAGTTAAGACACAAACAATTAAAAATTTTTTTTAAGATTAAACAAACCCCCCTTTTTTCCCCCCTCACTGAGTCAATGCTGACAACAGCAAATTCTATTTCAATTTGGTGCCTACAATCCACTTTATATTATAAGTTAAAGGGTTAAGGGTTGAAATGAATATGAAATATTTCACTGAATCTTATTGTTTTTAACATACTGGAAGCTACAGTGTTGTTGAGCAAGATGCAGAAAATTGGTCTGAGATTTTCAATCTGTAAATGTCTTTGCAATGATGGAAACACTCCAAATCTTAGAATGTAAAGGGGATACACTGACAGTGCTACTCAATGAAGTCTTGCCCTTTGAAAAACAAATACAATGCAGTTAGTAGCATTGCCATTGGTGTTCCTGTTCACAAAACTTCACCATCCAATTTGGCTTTTGGTGAGTCACCAATCTCTCTCCACCTTCTTTTTTTTTGTTGAGAGATGGGGGAATCCCCATGTTGGGATGTTTCAATTCACTTTTGCCCTTACTTGTGAAAGCATTTTGAAGTTCTTCAAGTTCTGTAAGACTGAAATAAATTAATTGTGTGAGGTCACTGTTGATAATCAAAATACAAGGTTACGACAAGCTATGCAATCATAAGCTTGCAAAAATATTCTCCCATATTTCCCTTTCATTTAGCTGACGATTTTTCAATTTTTTTAATGTGCATTTTGAGCTCTAGGGCACACTTTTACTTAAATTTTTCCTGGGACTCAAAAATTACTAACTAATGGAACTGACAGCAGCACTGCAAAGCAAAGGGATTTCACAGGGCTTGTGACCATTCAGAGATTCTTTAATGTTGCTACAGACATCTGGCAAAGCCAAATTTTAAATACACTACAGAAATCGTACAGAATCCCATTCAATCACTGGAAATTTGATTTTTTCTACTGTTCCTACAAATTATTTGCAGCTGATTCCATCCAATGCAAGAAAAAATCTCATCCTTCATAATTAATTAAAAAAACTTAAGAGGGTGTAACTGTTAAACATCAATGGTGTAGTGCTCTGGGCAGTAAAGTGCCCTTTCAGTAGAGTAAAACACTCAAATTTACTCAAGGAGTCTGCACCTTAGACCCTGAGAATGTGCAGGGACTGACATTCAAACACTGGTTGCACATAGCATGATAATTTGGGAGACACATCCTGCCTTTTGCAAAGAAGGAGCAAAGTTTGAAATTTAGTTGAATACAGTATAAACTTACCTCTGCTTGTAGAAGGACAGAATTCCTTCGAATGGCACTTGTCTGGGTTGAGTTTGTTTTGCTTCTTTCATGCACTGACTCCTGGCCCACTCTGACCTTGTATCTTGTCTCTTTTTAGAAATCATGATTCAACAGACAGAAAATCAACAAGAGAGAGACTACGGGGAGTTACGTATTTAGATTAAAATTCAGATTCATTTATTTTGCCACCCTTGCAAATTTTACATGTAGCTTCTTTTAAAAATGGAGTTGCTATTAGAATACATAAAGCAGCAAATGACTTGTACTTGTAACAGCAAATAATCCTGACAGAGACCAGGGTTGGATTGGATATTGGGAAAAAATCCTTTACTGTGAGGGTGGTGCTGCACAGGCTGCCCTGTGAAGAAGCTGTGGCTGCCCCTGGATCCCTGGAAATGTTCTAGGCCAGGTTGGGTGGGGCTTGGAGCAACCTGGTCCTGTGGAAGATGTCACATGGCAGGGTGTCTGGAACTGGATGATCTTTAAGGCCCCTTCCAATCCAAAGCATTTTGTTATTAAGTAGGAAGAGGAGGAGGAAGATTTTGGAGGAGCAAAGCAGCAGCAAGTTAACTTAACTGGTATAGAGATGTAAACTATCAGTGTTTTGATTTTGCTGTTTCTTTCCAGGACCTTTAGGAAAGACAGTGGATTTTAAGTGATTTAATAGTTATCTACCATGACAGTTGAAAACAGAACTGTCCAAACAAAACACTGGTAAACACAAATATTCTGTTTTAAACGTGTCACTATAAGTGCTGTTAGCCATTGCCTTGAACAATTTTCCAGAACAGCCCTTTCAGCATCACAGAAGATTACAGCACGCAACCTTTTACAAAACAAGACACTTTATTAATTAGGGCAAATAATAAGGGTCAGAAAAGTGATCTCTGGCTGTGTCAGTTGAAAAATAAATCACTGAACCTGCTTACTGCTGCAATAGGAAAGCCTGCTATGTGTTCTATCAATTATGCATTTATAGGGCCGGGGCTTGTTGGGGTTTTTGTGAATTCATTAGAACAGCAAAACCCAAGTACCACGTGGAAGTGCATTTCCTCACCACAGCTGATGAAAATGTGAGCTCTGAAGCATTTGATTCTGGTCCTGTCAAGGTTTTTATTGGCTGCAGCTGAACTGAGATTGGAGCAAAAAATGAGATAACTGATCACTTCAGGTAATAAAAAGTATAATGCTCTGCCAAATTCTTTACCACAATGCTGTTGCCAAACCCAGTTCAGAGTATTCTATTGTTGTAATGATGCCCACTTCTATTAACTGGAGTGTTTCAGTCTGATCTTCCCTTAAAAGTTATATTTGAAATCTGAAAAGCATTTTTCCTTATCATTCCTCAGATTATCAGCTGTGAATAAGACTAATTTATTACTTGCAGTTTAGCAACACTATTTCTAGCTTTAAATGAACCATCAAAGTAATAAAAAACCCCAAAAACAAGCAACAAACCAAACTTTTCTATCCACAGTCTCTCTTGCCAACAGAAGTTTTACTGCTGCTATCCTTGCTTGTTCCATGTGGTATAGAGAACAGGAAGGAAATTCTGGGTTTAAAAGCCATTTTCAAACACTTCAAGCATGGTCTTTCCATACTGTAAACATCTTTCAATTAATTCCTATCACTACAAATTTATCACTATCATTTCCACAACAAAGAACTTGCATGTGTTTTCCTCTCAAAAATCTTAAGTAGATCTTCTCAAATAACCTGCTCTTTATTTAGCTATTTTTGACTATTTCCAGTCATTTCTGAACTGCATAAACAATTACTTAATCTTATGAACATATTTCCTTCTACTCATCTGTCAGAATATTTTAAATGCACTTGTCACTGGCTATATTTAATTCTAACTTTGATTTCAAGTGCTGTCATATTTTGGGTGATGGGTAGCAATATTTTAAGCTCTGCTATCTCTATATTATTTTGTTAAACAATTTCCAAATAAATGTTTAATCACAGCAAAGGAGAAAATGCTAATTTAGCCTATGATTAAAAAATGAAAAAAACCTCTGACAACCCTTTTGATTTCTTTTAAATTGAGTTGGTAACAACTCTTCTGAAAGCACCTAAAGGGTGCTTAGAGGAAAATGGAGACAAACTTATTAGCGGGGCCTGTTGTGACAGGATAAGTGGTAATGGTTTTAAACTGAAAGAGATTTAGACTACATATAAGGAAGGGTTTTTTTATTATGAGGGTGGTGAAACACTGGCACAAAGAAGTTTAGGATCCATCCCTGGAAAGAGTCCAGGCCAGGCTGGATGGGGCTCCATCCATGAAGGTATTCCTGCCCATGGCAGGGGGCTGGAATTAGATGACCTTTGTAGTTCCCTTCCAACCCAAACCATTTTACTGTTAGATGATTCTTCATGCCATATAGAACTTATTGGTAGAGAAAAAGGGCTATGGTTTGTTTTCTTTAACACTGGCAATTTCTACTCTGAACAAAATCTTCCTGCTCCAGTGCTCCAGTTTAGCTGAGCATCTGAGGTTCATGAACTGCAGGCACTGAAGATGAACTCCTCAAGACGTAACCAGGTGTTAACCCTTCCATCTTCCTTGACTTTTGTCAGGCCTTTGGTGAGCAGATTTAACACGATGGTATGACCAAAAAATACCCCTTTCCTAGGGGTAGTGAAGTAAGTAAGATCCCCCAGTGAGGAGCAGAACAGGCATGCAAAAGCGAGGCAGGAAGCAGGAGTTCCTCATGATAATGGCAATTTCAATCTGAGGTGTAGCCACACATGATGCAGTGTGTGTGGAATTCCTTTGAGAGGCAGGAGGGCAGCTAGACAGAGCAAATATGGAGCACAGTGAATTTCACTAAATTAAGCCACTTTTGATTTACCCTCTGGAAAAAAATAGTCAGAGCTGTGTTTGTTCTTCCAATCATACAAGAGGAGCTGAGCTCCCCACAGACTACCTAAATCTCCTATATTTGAACATCCAATGAAACTTTTTAACCAGACAACTGAGCTGATATTTGAAATACAGCTGATGGGATAGATGTTTCATTCCCATTAAGTGTCTTGGGACAACAATTCCATCTTTCATTCCATTTATATAAATTAATCATGTCAAAAGAGAAAATGCTAATTTAGCCTATGACTAAAAAATGAAAAAACCTCTGACAACCCTTTTGATTTCTTTTAAATGGAGTTGGTAACACTTTCTTCCATGGTATGGTTGGTAACACTAGGTGCTTTTCCACAGCACCCAGACTACTGAAGCACTGAAGCAGTAGGGGCCATCAGATGCAGGCATTTTGCTGCCTACATTCTGGGAGCCCCACACTCTAAAGGGAGCAGACAAACGTCAAAGCATCTGAAAAAATATTTCACTCTAGAAACTGGTGCAGTTAAACGTAAGTTTTGAAATGGCCTCGTTTTAATTTCTGAAGCAGTGCCTACTTCATTTAAGAAACACCTCTGATTGCTCAATAGAGTTCAAGCTTCAGTTTAATTTCTCTAAAGATCAGCAAGTATTGAATACATAAACATCCAACATTTCACATTAAACACCCAGCACTGATATCATACAAAGGAAAATATCTTCCAGTAAGAGTTAAAATAAAACACTCTCTATTAAAAATATGAGTTTGTTCAA